TCAGGAACGCGCTCTGAATGCCAACTAAAGCTCGCCTTGGCAAACTCGCGCGCCTGTGTATGTGCGCGCGCGCGCGCGTGTGTGTGTGTGTGTGTGTGTGTGTGTGTGTGTGTTTGGCGTGTGTGCGTGCCGCCTCATTGGCACTAATTTAGAGGACGCGGGATCAAACTGATGAAAACGCCAGTCCGGTCGGGCTGACGGCGCTGACGGCGCTAGGCGGGTCGCAGTCGCAGCCGCCACACTCCTTCCGTCCTCACGAGTCCTCTCCTCACCTCGGCGGCCGCAGCGATTCGTTCGGCCTTTCAGTTTCGCTCGTGAAAAATGGTGGCGGCGGACCTAAAGGCCCCAAGGTGCGTCGGGCCGTCGGCGGGAAGATGATGATGACGAAGACCCTTTTGTTTTAGGGTCCGACGGCGCCGTGCATACCGACTCCCTAATTACGGGCGCGCACACACACACACACACTCACACACGCAGACACAGAAAAACGTTTCCGAAAACAGTGCCCTTGACGACGTCCGTGCGTCCGTTTTGGGGCGGTTTGAACCGTCCGCCGGTTTCCCTGGAATGGCATGGCCGGGCGGGCGGGCAGGCAGGCACGGCCCCGACGGTGGCGCGGCGCGGCGGCTGACGGACGCAGCCAGTTTGATGTGGATCTGTCCCGTGGGTGATGGATACGTCTGCCGCCGTGGTCAGCGGCTTGAGCGGCCAGCGCAAGGCAAGCGGCAAGCGCGCCGTAGTTCCCTTTTAGGATGCCGCCGTGCCGCCGCCGTCCTGCGCAACCGCCGCGCGCCCCGCCCCGCCCCGCCGAGCTTTTTACTGCCATTTAAGACATTTGCATGTCGGGCCCCGATTTGGCCGCCGCCCCTGGCTGCCTTTGGTTGCCTTTGCGGCATTTAGCCGGCGTTTTTTGCCCGCCTGCCCTCGGCCCGGCCGAGTGGCCGAGCCCTCCCGCCCGCCGCGCCTCGGCCCGCTGGAGACTTCGCAGGGCCCCGCTGCAGCCGCTCCAGCGCCAAGAAGGCCCCATTTCTAATTCTCTCTCTCTCTCTCTCTCTCTCTCTCTCTCTCTCTCTCTCTCTCTCTCTCTCTCTCTCTCCGCGCCTAGGTCACCGAGCTGAGCGCCCTGCGGTCGGCGGTCGCGGCATTGGCGGTCTTGTCACAGGTCTTGTCGGCTCGCAATTAATTCTTTTTGCCAAGTTGCCCCGGCCCGCCCGGCCCCTTTGCCCGGCCCGCCTCGGCGCGGGGGAGTCGCGGAGCGCGAGCAGTGTAGCGGTCCTAGCGGTGTGGCGGTGCGGCCGGGCGACATAAAGATGTAGTTAATTGGCCTGCTGTCGGTTGCACTGCCGCGCTGCGCCTGACGACGTCCTGGCCGCGCACTTTTGGCGGTTCGTTTGCCGCTCTGTGTGTGTGTGTGTGTGTGTGTGTGTGTGTGTGTGTGGCGCCAAGCACAAGAATTAATTCGGGGCTCTGATTGGGCGGTGGGCACCGCCCTGGCGACGACGGCCTCCACAGCCACCCTGCCCTGCCCGCCACCTCGACCGCGCTGGCGAGGCGGCCAGAGGGGCGGCGGGCGCAGATATGACGTCTCGAGATGACTGCGGGGCGGGGCGGGGCGGGGACGTCGCGTGACCGCAGCCAATCGACCCGGGGCAGCCTCGACCGTGTTTAGTTATTCATACAATAACTCGGACCCCCTCCCTCTTCTTCTCCCCCGCCGGTAGCCCCCCCCCCCCCTTTCTCTCTCTCTCGCTTGCGGTGCGCCGAGTCGGCGTGGTCGATCTATCAATAGCATTTATTATTGTCGTTTTTGTTAATTATTGCGATGCCTTGTGAAAGAGGAGATATATGCAGCCATAAAGCGGCCGCCGAAAGGAAGGGAAGGGAAAGGGGCACTCCGGCACTCCAGCCGCGGGCCGTGCCGTGCCGCCGTGCCGTGCCGGCCGCGCCGTCCCCGTCCGTGGGGGGGGCCGCGCCCGGGGGGGTCTCATCAGGAGTTAAATACAAAGGCCGATCGTGCCGCCCGACCGGCTGACCGCGCGGCCTGGTCCGTTATGCAAGGTTTGGATTTCGAGTCGCCGCGCGTTGACGATCTAATTGGGCCAGTGTACCTCCCGCGCGCTCTCGCCGCTCTGTCTCTCTCGCAGCGGTCCGCGGGCGCGAGAGAGACAGCTCGACCGTGCTGGCGGTGCAGCGCGCTGCGTGGGGGGCCGCAGCGCCGCAGCAGCCCGCGGTGTGCTGGAGGGCGCACTGTCGGGCTCGTCCGGCATGAGGGCCTCGTCCGGGTGATGCACGCGAAGGGCTCCTTGCCGCTCCTTGCCGCTCCGCGCGGCACTCGGCAGTAAAGGCGACTTTACAGCGTATCACTTTAATTATCACTAAGAGCGCGCTGCGCAGCGCTCAGTGCGGTGCGCGGATGCGGCGTACCTGGTGGCCGCCCCCCCGCCCCCCCCCCCGCCCCGCCCCCCGATGAAAATCTGCCACCGAGTTGTACGACTGTCCCTCGGAAATAAAACATTATTATTCCGTCTCCCTCCGATCATTAGTCAGGTCTCATTTACTCCATTTTGTTGTTTTTTTCGCGTTTCTGGCCATTTTATTTTTCATTAGCTCGCCGTTGTTGATACCCCCTCTTTTTTTTGTGCGCCGCCGGGATGCCTGCGACACTTGACGACGTAATGAGCATGCAGACAGTGCGGACAGTCCGGGGGACAGTCGTACCGACACGCCTAGATACTCTCGAACGGTGGCCCTGCCGGCCCTGCCGCCCCGCCCGTCGTCGTTCCCACTACACTGCCGCGCGGGACGCCGGGACGCGCCTTTACGCCTTGGCTCGTCCTTTTTGTCTTCTCCGCGTCCTGGCCGTCCGCGCCCTGGCCGTCCGCGTGTCCGCGTCGTTATGGTGATTACAAGGCGGCCACGCATGGCAGGCACGGCGCGGCTTGCGCTGATGACTCAATCCGCCGTCCTAACAGCCCAACAGGAGTAACAGGCCGCCCGGTGTCATTTGAATAATGCAGGAACGCCCCGCCGCGGAGGGGCGCCAAAGTACAAATTGCAACGCAACGAGTATTTGCATGCCGGCGTGGCGGGGCGTGGCGGGGCGTGCCGCCCGGGCCGCCCCCTCAGGTGTTGCTCTAATTAAATTACCAGCAGGTGAGATGGCGCGGCTAGATGGAGGCGTCGCACACCGCGCTGCCCGCCTTCACGGCCTGCACGGCCCCCGCGAGCACGGCGTCGTTGAAATGCAGACGAGGATGCAAAACCTGGCAAAACGTGCCAAGCGTGCCTGCTGGTGGCGGAGCGGGCGGCCGCGTCCACCGTCGGAGCCTCGATCGCCACCGCCAGCACCTCGATGAGGTGCCTGCAGCGTGCCTGCAGCGGGTCGCCGCGTCGCCGAGACAGTCGCGCGGACTCTACTCCGCACTCGACGGCTGCCTCTGTGTGCGTGCGTGCGTGTGTGTGTGCAGCGGCCGGATCGAATGACGGGAAACGCCGGTAGCAAGAACAGGTACCATTTCCGGCGAGGAATTTGCTGGTGCGACAGTGGGGCGGCCCGCCGGCCCGCCGCGCCCCGAGGCCCAGTGCGAGTGCGGCCCGTCGACGTCGGCTGGGTCGGTATCAATTATGTCCTGCTGGGCGCGCGCGGCGTGTGTGCGGACAGCTGCGCCGAGGTGGCCGAGGCGGTCGGGTTGATGCAGTCGTAATCCTTTCGTCCCTTGGGTCTTGGGGTTGGCCAAGACGAAAAGCAAACTAGCTTCGGCAACACACTCGCGGCCGACGCCGTGCCCGCTGTGCCGGGGGCAGGGGGTGGCCGGGGGGCGGCCGGAGGGATCGGGCGGCCCGCAGCCTCACACGCGACTGCCCGTACCGTCGTACTTCACCACGGCCTCGGGCACCGCCAGCAGCGCGCCGCCGCGACCCGGACGCCGGAATGCTGCAGCTTTGTCGCGCCGAAAGCTCTTTTTTTTGCGCGCCGTCGCGGTGAGCTGGAAGGGCTGGAGGTCTGGAAGGCTGGAAGGCGGCAGTGAGCCTTTGTCGCCACATCTGCGTTTCCATCAAGCGGCCCGGCGTGGCTGCTTGATTCCAGTGGCGTCCTGGCGGCCCTGGCCGCGTGATGGTCTCGCCCGCAGCCACAGCCTTCCAGCGCGGCCGCGGGTTCGAATCCCGCCTAGGAGGTCGCCAACTTTTTTTTCAACCGCGCGCAACCCTGGCGCGCTTGCTGCACGCGGTTTTTTCAAACCTTTTTCTACCTTTGCAAGACGGATGTGTCACCGAGGAACAGGAAGGTACAATGCCTGCACGGCGACGGCACACCGGGCACCCTTCCTGCACAAGGGGTGCTGCGTGGCGTGGCGTGCTCCGCCCGTAAAACGGGAAGAATAGTAAAAAAGGAAGCGACAAAAGGCAGAAGCGGTGACCGAACTGGGGGAGCCGCAGCCACGCGGCACAGGACGGCACACGCGGCCGCGGCAGAGGTGGCCAAAGGATGCGGTGCGGCGCGGTGCGGCGCGTCCATGTTGACGTCGGGGGGGACAGAGAAAGAGGGAGGGGACAATCGTAAGATCGGCTTCGGTGACGCGTGTGTGTGTGTGTGTGTGTGCGTGAGCGCGTGGCCGGCACACGCGTAGGGGGAGCGATCGGGGGGACTCTACTCGGAATCCTCTCGATTCCGTGTGTGTGACTTGGACCTGCCGGATGGCAGGCGAAACCTCATGCAGCCCTGCAGCCCCGCGCTCGCTTTGTCTCGTTCCTGTGGTCCTGGACCCGTGTTTTCTGTCTCTCTCGCACTCCGTCTAGTCGTAGGGGTGAGAGAGAGACCGACGAGAGCCCCGTTCGGAATCGGGTCGGCCTGCTTAACCTTTTATTAACCCCACCGGGCGACTGCTGCCCCAATACGTACAAGAAACGAGCTTTCCTTCCTCCTGTCAACGCCCGCGGGGCATGGGCCGCTTGGGCTTGGGCCGCTTGCTCGGGGCGGAGGGCCCCGTCGTGCCGCCACTGTAAGCGCGTCTTACGTACTTACCTATCCGGCTGCGATACTGTCGCCGACTTGGGTAACGGCCGCGGCACCCCGAGCAGGATAAAGGAGGAGTGAATGAATGAAATGATGCAAGCCGAGTCGAGGCGGGCGAGGCGACACGCCCGGGCTGTCTTGGCGGTCTTGGCCGCCTCGGCGAACGAGTCGCACGGCGAGGTAACGAGCCTCAAAGTGCCGAGGCGCCGAAGTGCCCAGGTGCGCGCCGCAACAAAGAGAGATGCTAATTGATAGACAACACACTGTTGCGGTGAGCCGCGGCGAGATTGGCACTTTGCGGTGCAAAGCCCGGCCGGCCCGGCGAAGCCGCGCATTCGCAGTGCAGTAGCCTCGCAGCCGTGCGCCTCCAGACCCCCCTTTGCCTCCCACCTGGCCGTCTGTGCATTTGCAGTGAACGTGTTTCCCTTTCTCGTGTTGCAGACCGCCTGACCAATGGGGACGCCGCCAGCGACGACGAGGACCGCAGCGTGGGCGGCAGCGACGTGGCCGACGACGTGCTGCACCTGGGCCACGACGACGACTCGCGGGACTCGAACCGGCGCACGGATGTGAGTAGTGCTGCAGCAGTGTAGCGGCGTAACGGGGTGCTTATGGCAGCGATAAAGCGAGGGTGCAACAAGCCGTGCTTCGCTACCGGGACGGCCCGGACGGTCGAGACGGCCCGGACGGGGCGCTGGGTGATCACGAAATGATATGCAGGCACCGGGCCAGCAGGGCCGGCACGGCCAGCGAGGGCGCGCGTGCCCACCGCCCTCGGGCCCTTGGGACCCTCGGGGTGTCCTAATGGGCTCGTCGGTGACAGTTGAACACGCCCCCCCCCCTCCTCCTCTCCCGGGGGCACACACGTTACACCGTACCCGGCCCGATCTTCGATAAGCCCGAGGCTGTAACTCTCCTTCTGGAAGCGGCAGCAGCGCAGCAGCAAGGCGGTGCACAGTGGGCCAGAAGACCGGTGGAGGCGGCCAAAACTCTAGACGCGTTTTGAGCTCCAGAGTCGCTGAATGGGACTCGAACCGAACGTGTGACCCCACCAATGGATTCCTCGTTCGGAGAGCAATCCATTGGTGGGGTCACACGTTCGGTTCGAGTCCCATTTAGCGACTCTGTTGCTCAAAACGCGTCTAGAGTTTTGGCCGCGTCTACCGGTCTTCTGGCCCACTGTGCGGTGCGGCGGTGGGGCGTCGGTATAGCGGGCTTCACGGCCTTGTTGAGGTTGGCGCGGAACGCGGCGGAACCGCACACGGTGGCGGCGTCTTCATTTGGAGGCTTGATTAGCGAATGTCTCGAGTCAAGTCTCGCGGCGACGCGCGGCGAGGCGAGGAAGGTCGTCTTGGCGAGGCAATCGTGGCACTTTCTATGCCGAAGCAGGCAGTTTTTTAGGGGGTGGGGAAGAGCCACCCTCGCGCAGACCGCTAATGGTACTCGGCCGCGCGGCCTGGACGGCCCAGGGAAACAACTGTGAGTGTGGAGCCCGAGGGAGCACGGCGTGCTGGGCGTGCTGGGCGTGCTGGGCGCACGCCGGCCGGCCGGACAAGACGAATGGCTAACAGCACGGCGATCGTCCCCGGCGGGATTAAAATATCCGATCGCGGGGCGGGGCGCAGCTGGAGTGGAAGTGGACACTTCGGCCGGACTTGGGGCCTCCATTATTTATGGTGTGCCTGCGCGGCGCGGCGCCGTGCTGACCGGTGTGATAAGTACGCCGGCCTCGGCGTCGCCTCGGCGTCCACTGCAGCCCATTGAATGGCCCTTCGCGATAAAGGGTGGCGGGGTCAACAAAGGGCCCGGGCGGCCCGGAGGGTGGCGCCGCGCCCTCGACGCCCTCGGCGGAGGACGAGGACGAGACGGAGGGCCGCGAGGCGCGGGCCGCGGCGGGGCGTCCAATCGAATCTACCGCCGCTAATATGGAGATGTCGCCGGCGTCCCCCGGCCAGGGCCAACCCTGCCGCCCCGCCGCCCGCCCGCCAAGTTGGCCACTTGATAAATAAAGTTTGCGTTGTCACCTGTTGCGGTTCTCCAGTCGCCTTATTGCTGTTGCAGGGGGACTCTCCCGCCGTGACGCGCGGCCCCGGGCAGCCCAGCAGGCCGTCCACCTCGCCGTCGTCCGGCATCAGCAGCCACGTGACCTCGTCGGCCGGGGCGTCGCTCGGCGGCAGCCCCGCCACGGGGGCGCCCACGCCGAACCTGAGTGCCATCGCCGCCCTGCAGGCCGGCCAGCTGTCCCAGGTAAGCGTCGTCGCCGTGCTCGCCGTGCCGTGCCTCTCGGCTCCGACTCACACTGGTTGTCCTCGTTGCAGATGATGGGACTCAACCCCCAGAGCCAACACCTCCTGCTGCAGAGCCAGCTCGCCTCCGCGGCGGGGGCGGCGGGGCTGCCGGCGTCCTTAGCGGGGCTGGCGCCCCAGGAGCTGCAGGCCGTGCAGCAGCAGTTGCAGCAGCACCACCAGCAGCTCCTGCAGCAGCTGCTGCTGTTCCAGCAGGCTGGGCCGCAGATGCCGGCGCAGGCGCAGTTCTTCCTGCAGAACCAAGTGCAGCAGTCGGTGCAGCAGTCCGTGGCGCAGGCGGCGCAGCAGCTACAACAGCTACAGAAGCAGGGCGCCGCGTCGCCGCCCGCCAGGCTCAGCTCGTCGTCGTCCGCCAGGTCGTCGGGCTCCTCGGCGGCGCGCGACTCGGACGCGTCCGCCAGGGACAGCCCGCCGTCCGCGGCCACGCTGCAGCAGCTGAGGGCGCAGCTCCGGGGGCAGCTGGGAGGCGCCCTGCCCGGCCAGCTCACCCCTCTGGCCAGCAAGCAGCCGCAGCCCCGCGCGCTGGAGCCCGCCCTGGAGGAGACGACGGACCTGGAGGAGCTGGAGCAGTTCGCCAAGGCCTTCAAGCAGCGGCGGATCAAGCTTGGTAAGCGGTGAACCACTTCACGGAAAGCGGTGCGTGTTGGTCCTCGCCTTTGGTCTAACGAGAGCCTTTCTGTTCCGCAGGCTTCACGCAGGGCGACGTCGGGCTGGCCATGGGCAAGCTGTACGGCAACGACTTCTCCCAGACCACCATCTCGCGGTTCGAGGCGCTCAACCTGTCCTTCAAGAACATGTGCAAGCTGAAGCCGCTGCTGCAGAAGTGGCTGGAGGACGCCGACAGCAGCATGGCCAACCCCAACTCGCTCAACAACCCCCTGACCACGCCCGAGGCCATCGGGCGTCGCCGCAAGAAGCGCACGTCCATCGAGACCAACGTGCGCGTGGCGCTGGAGAAGGGCTTCATGGCCAACCCCAAGCCCACGTCGGAGGAGATCTCCATGCTGGCCGACAGCCTGGGCATGGAGAAGGAGGTGGTGCGGGTGTGGTTCTGCAACAGGTGAGGGGCCTTCGTCAAGAGCCGTGTGTCGCGTCGCGTCCCGGCGTCGTCCATGTCTAATCACAACTGCGTTTGTTGCAGGCGCCAGAAGGAGAAGAGAATCAAGCTTGACGTTCCCGGCATGGGCTGCGCAGACCAGGACTTCCCCCTGGACCTCCTCCAGCCCCGGGAACAGTCCTCCTCCTCACCCCTCGGGCCCCACGGCGCGGATGCCGCCCTCGACCTGGCAAGATAGCCGCCGGCGTCCGGAGGGCCCCAGGCCGGGCCCCAGGCCGGGCCCCAGGCCGGGCCCCAGGCCCCTGGAGGGCCCCCGCACGTCCCCCTCAGCATACCCAGCTACCTGCCCTCCACATATCGAGTGGCGGGGCGTTCGTCTGCCGCGGGCCCCGCCGGCCCCGCCCCGCCAGTCATGGACGGACGAAGCCCCACCAACTAAAGTTCCTCTCCACAGTACCAAATAATGTATTACTGAGAGATACCCCCAGCGACCCGCTGGCTGGCGGTAGCTTAGAGTGTAGCGACACTGCCTGCCCCCCGAGTGCGCGGCTCCGGGCGCCTCCCCATCGAGCGCGGGGAGGCCCTTGATCTCGCCCTGTTGGTGCCTCCCCGCCCCGTCCCCCTCCTCCCCGGCGCGCCGCGCCCGCCCCGCGCCGACTCGAAGTCCCCCTGTGAGCGGACCTCTCTCTGTCGGGGTGGTCGCGGCCCCGCCCCTCCCCTTCCCTCTTCTGCCCCGGAACGGTGTCCACCCCGCGGGCGGGCAGTGTGTTATGTTATATTTGCGTCAACTTTGTTTTCTTATCCGTTCCTCTGCCACTTTCTGGACGTCGGCTTGACCGCGCGTGCAGCCGGCCTGACTCGCCGGCGCTCGCGTCGTTCAGGCATTTCCCCGTCTCTAGGTTCAGTCACCCATGTGTTAAGGTAAGCTCTACTCCTGGGTCTAGCCCGTTTAATTTTAAGTTTCCATATCTTTTGTGATTCGGGACGAGTGGGAGGAACGCCCGAGAGTTGGAAGAAGTGTCTAGTTCTATATGACTGATTTGTTGTTTTCATATGTTTATTATTACTATAAAACTATTATTACTGTTTTTAATCTACGGCCCTAAGCACACATTCGTGATACGCATAGGTATACTGCGAAATGTGATTTATGTATTTTGCCACTGTCATTTGTCCGAATGTGAAACCAAAGTTTGTTTACCTAAAATGTATACCTCACTCGTTAAAAGAATATGCTGCTTCCAAGACTGCAATGTATTCTATAGTTCGTGGTTTATTCGTTTATTGGATCTTATCACGCATTTTAATCAGCAACAACGCGTTCACAAGTTCAAGTTAATTGTCAATAACTCATTCATCTTCTCAATTTTGAAAAATATTGATACTTTTCTGAACTTTTGACTTAAATTCATCATCACGCCACCATTTGGCTGGTCATTGAGTATTAACTATCTTCCATTGGTGTTAATTCTCTTAAAGAAAGTACGAAAATTGTTGTTTTGTTTTGCATATTAAGTTAGCAAAATTCTTCCTAAAAGACAGAATAAGCGTTAGAAACTTTATGTATAGTGCAATTTAATTTGTGTACATGATTTGTATATGTGATATTTAAATGTTTGAGGCAATTCGTCTCTAGCTATACGCATTTTATTTGGTCATTTAGAGAATGTTTATTTAAATTATATTTCTGGTAAGAATGTACGGTATATTTGTTCCTACCTCTCGCGAAGTTGTTGCTGCAACTTGTTCTCAGCATAGCAGCAGGAACTATCAAAGTACAGGGTAACAAAGTCATTATATACGTATGTGTGTATGTATAACTTGTATGTACTGTGTATGTAATGTAAGTATGTATAATCGGTGTGGCCATGAGTTTTGTGTTAAATAGCTCCTTTAAATATGTAGACAATGCAAGGCTCATTTCTACTGTAATTTTGTTTTGAAAATGATCAAATACATGCATTTTGATTATTCACCCCTTGTCTTACTTCCCTTGTTCATAACTTCACACGACGGAAAAGCAACAGTCGGTCAAACACAGAAATAACAGAAGTATTAAACAATAATACTAGTGGCTTTAGGAAACTAGATGGGGCTGAGCGGCAAACGGAGGAAAAGTTTTACGCACCTCTGGTTCGAACCCACGTTTATTGTCGCGGTGAACACCTCACTCCACTGACACTTGAACCCCCGGGGCAATTACACGAGATTCGAGCAGTAAACTGCTAAAGATTTTAAAGTGGGCCGAAATTTATCGGGTCGGCGGGGCCAGACTCAACCGTCCCATTCTTTTTGGTCGGTCCCGGAAACGGGCTCCACACCGTCTCCAGGGCGGACCTGGAAACAGGCTTCCGGTTCCGGATCCAAACTAGGCCGACCCGATCCTGGAACACTAGGAGCAGAATTTACGGTCTGGTTTTAAACGCGGCGGGGGCGTCTCAATTGCCTGTGTTTTTTCTTTAAAAAAAAAATTATTTTAAAAAAATGTTATTAAATGCTGCCTTTTGAACTCTGGTCTTCGGCTTGAGAGCCTGGTGAGTGAGTGGGTGTGTCAAAAAATGATGCATATTTGCATAAAGGATCAAAAAACACTCATTTTTCATAATAAAATATTATTTTATTGCCCTGTTATTTTTTTTTGTCGATATACATTTGAGGGGAATGTTTGTTCCCTGCCTGATGCCTTTGTATGTATTTGAATTCACTTGATAGGCTCGGTCAAATATAACATCGGTGTGAGGGTTTACTATCAAATTGTTTGTGCATGGGGTATGCACACTTCTTTGATTTAAGTGGCTATCGGTTATTGATACACATTTACATTTTTCTTAGTGTGAAGTTTGTTTGGAAGAGGCGGCCATATTGAGAGTAGTTGTCAGGCAGCTTCTTTCTCAGCTTCAATGCCACTTCAATTCATCTTTCAACTTATCAAAAAGTTCTATATTTTTCCTACATTTTGAAAACTCCACCCTTATCTATTGAGTCTAAGTTGGGGAGAACTTTACATGGCGTGTCGTCATTTAATTACTCAACAGTTTGTAACATATATAGTATATTTACACGTATTGAATATTCAATGTCAATTTTGGGGCATCGAAATTGACAAGACTCAAACAATGAACAAACTTCTCTCAAAACTTGATATGACTTGACATCAGACAGGACGTATCACGGTAGTTTATTTTCCTTTCGATCACAAACTTAAAATGTTACTACATGGAATGTGTAACTCATAATTGTGAAACAACCTTTCTTGATAGGGCCATTCTTTGAATGTCTTAAATAATTAATCAATATTTCACCAATACAATCTACAACATTGAACACAATAAAATCATCACAAAAATGAAGTGTCCCTCACATGTTTCTGAAACGGTGGTCCATCATTTAACCAATAAACGTTTCCACGATCTAGAGGGGAACTTGTGATGTGTACTTTGCAGAAAGACCTTGCAGTGCTTCGGCTACTCAACGATATGTTGACAGCTAATGCGATGAAGCCGTTCATCACAGAAGCGAATAGAAATTCATGCCATTTGATATGTCGGGAGTCGGCGGAATTTAACGACTCGCTTTGTTTCATGATCACAAAACACTTTGGTCATTCAGCTTTCACTCGTATACCAGTTTCGGCACTATCGTATACAGCAGCAAACGGTTTCCGTGTCTGGAAGACTTCAATAGCGGTAAAACATCGTCCGAGACCTTTTTAAGCAATAATTAAAATAACCAATATTTATTCGTATAACGATTTCCATTTTGGTATACGCTTCTGTTTAAGGCTCAAAACCTCTCTATGAGTAAAAATGTCGCTAAAATTAGTCTTTTAATCTATACAAACTGTCCTTTTGTAAATGCTCGACTCCTCCGTTCCGTATACATTCTACAACAATAAATAATTTCGTTTCCAAGATGTTGCACATTTCCTTTGGCTAGTAGGAATTTTCTGTTTTTGACTAGAATACCTCTGAGGGACGGATTAATAAGCCCACAACGTGGTACAAGCACGGACACAGTAAACGCCATATTTTAAAGTCTGGCTCAACTTTTCGGAGACGCCCCGACTATGTACAAATTAGTCTACGCCGAGACGGGAAACAAGAGTCCAATGCGGCGTGAATTAAACAAAAAAGAAAAAGTAATCTAACAAAAACGTATCAATAAAATATTACAATAAAAACTCTAACACAAAAAATGAAAAAAAAAAGAGAGGGAAACTTTCAGCCAAAGCATGCAGCCTTGCGTGATTTCCTCCTTTCAAATAAAGTATTCTGTCTTTTTTGTGAAACTCAAACTAAGTTGTGCACCCCAAATTTAAAGTCGTTTCCCACTGCGGCGGCACTCAGCTGTCCCGCGCCTTGCCAACCTTGCCCTGCCCCCCACGCCCCCTGGCTCGCCCCCAGGCCCCCGTGCACCCCAAAGTCGCCCACCCTGCTCAAGGAGAGAGTCGCCCCCAGGGCGTCATCGGCGTCATCGGCGTCATCGGGGGGCTGCCGGTCCCAGGAGCCCCAAGGGGGGGCCGTCCGTCACTGTCTGAGCCCGCCGGGGGACCCTGGTCGAGGGGGGCTGCACCTGAGGGGGCTGAAGCTTCTGGCGGGAGATGGAGGCCCCCCATGGCTACCCCCATGGTTGCCCCCATGGGAGCCCCGCGGGGAGGGGTGCCCGGGGAACCCCCCCAGGGACGGTGGTGGGCTGTAGGCGCCGGGTGGCGGGCTGTAGCAGGCGCCCAGGGGTGGGCTGTGGGCGCCCCGAGGTGGGCTGCCGAAGGACCGGGCCGGGGCGACCAGAGAGAGAGCCCCGCCCCCGCTGAAGAGAGAGCTGGGGGCGGCGGTGGGGGAAGGGGGGCCGATGGCCGCGCCGAGAGGCGGGGGGCTGAGGCTGCCGCCCCCGCCGCCTCCGCCGCCCAGGGCCGAGTTGGGGGGCGGGTTGATGCGCTTCTCCTTTTGTCGCCTGCAACACGAGATGCCCACCGGCTAGGTTACATGGCAGAAGAGGCTCTTCGCAGACTACAGCCACGCGCTACTAAACGGCTCTACGCTGCCAGAAATTGCAAACTAGAGCAAGCACTACTGCGGCGCGCGCGGCCAAAAATTCTACGCCGGATTTGGTGACTCCGCGACGCCTGCAAATGAGATGAGATGAGTTTTCCCCAGCCGTGGCGGCGTGGCGGCGGAGCGGCTGGCCATTGCCAGGCATGCAGGGCAAAGACGAGCCGTCCGGCCCAAATACAGAAAACAGCGCGGCAGCACCGCGGCAGCACGTTTGCTATTCCGCGCAGTGCGCAGTGCCGGCGGGGCTGGCGGGGCTGGCGACAGGCCGCGGCTCCGCTGCGGGGGACGCGGCGACGCGGCGACGCGGCCGGCAGTGCGTGATTCGTCATAAATCTGGTGACAGCTCCGCGCTGCCCCGCGCCGCCCCACGCCACTCGCCCGGTTTGGCTCGTTTGGCTCTGCGCGATGAGAGCGCAGTGTAGATTCCCGCCTCTTTATGGAAAGGACGGACTTGACGCTCGCTATGGGAAAGAGTCATGAAAACTTTTAACGGCACACACACATACAGACACAAGCAGGCACGGCGCTCAAGAAAAGCAGCAGACCTGCTGCAAAGTAATAGGAGAGGGACAGTCCAGTACAAAAAGCAATAATAGTCCTCGAGGAACGACAGGAGACCCACGGACGTCAAGGTGGTGCATCATTTAGGCAACACACGACCGAAAAAACAACAACCAGTACTAACGTGTTTAAGTTTGCGAGGATACTCGTCACGTACGATACCATACTGCTTCATACTCGCGCAGCATTGCAAAGTCTCATCTCGCATCACACACACACACACACACACACACACACACACACACACACACACACACACACACACACACACACACACGCACACACATGCGCGTGGCGCCGCCGCATGCCCCGCGCGTGTGAGACCGCGGCGGCCAGCCCCCGGCTCCGCTGGCTCCACTGGCTCCGCTAAACGCGTCGCGCCGCGTCGCGCCGCCCCGTAATGGATGAAGACGATAGTCGGCGAGCCAGGCAAGGCAGGGCAAGGCAGGGGAAAGAGGCGCCGCGGTGCCACGGCACTGCCATGGCAGTGCCGCAGCCGCACGTACACCGCAAGGCCGCGCGGCGCGTCGCCGCGCGTCGCACCGCGGCGCGACTTGCAAAGCAAAAGGCTCCGTTCGCATCAAGTCGACAATTACGCGCCGCGATGCAGGGCAGGGCAGTGCCGCGGCAGTGCACACGGCAGTGCGAGGCAAGGCCTGGCAAGGTAGTGGGAACGCACGACGGACCCCTCGGAGGCGCCCCACAGTGGGCCAGAATACCGGTGGAGGCGGCCAAAACTCTAGACGCGTTTTGAGCTCCAGAGTCGCTGAATGGGACCCGAACCCAACGTGTGACCCCACCAATGGATTGCTCTCCGAACGAGGAATCCATTGGTGGGGTCACACGTTCGGTTCGAGGCCTGTTTAGCGACTCTGGAGCTCAAAACGCGTCTACAGTTTTGGCCGCCTCCACCGGTCTTCTGGCCCACTGTGCCCTCGGGGGCGAGTGCCGAGTGAGTGCCGTGCTGCTGTCGCGGTAAAGCGCGGCTATGCGGCTACCCAAAAAGCGAACGGCCGCCCGGCAGGCTGGCGGGCATCCTATCAACTCACCTGTTACAGAACCACACCCGCACCACCTCCTTCTCCATGCCCAGGTTGTCCGCCAGCATGGAGATCTCGTCGGACGAGGGCTTGGGGTTGGCCATGAAGCCCCGCTCCAGGGCCACCCTGGTGGACGTCTCGATGGACGTGCGCTTCTTGCGGCGCCGCCCGATGGCCTCGGGGGTCGTCAGCGGGCTGCTCAGGCTGTTGGGGTTGCTGAACGAGTTGTCGGCGTCCTCCAGCCACTTCTGCAGCAGCGGCTTCAGCTTGCACATGTTCTTGAAGGACAGGTTGAGCGCCTCGAACCGCGAGATGGTGGTCTGGGAGAAGTCGTTGCCGTACAGCTTGCCCATGGCCAGCCCGACGTCGCCCTGCGTGAAGCCTGCGGGCAGGGAGTGGAGTGGGGCGTCAGGACAAGTCACCGGAAACTGGAATAGTGATGAGTTTTGGCGAGAAAGCTCACCCAGCTTGATGCGCCGCTGCTTGAAGGCCTTGGCGAACTGCTCTAGCTCCTCCAGCTCGACGGACTCCTCGGGCGAGGGCTCCGCCAGGGCGCGCGGCGTCGACGACTTGGTGCTGCCGCCGCCTCCACCGCCGCCGCCGCCCTCGTGGTTCATGAGCCCCGTGGAGGGGTCGCCGCGGACGCCAGGCGGCAGCCCCGCGCCCATGCCGGCCATGCCCTGCATGCCCTGCAGCAGGGGCATGTTGACGCCGCCGCCGCTGTTGGCCGCGCTCCTGCCCAGGGAGGCCTTGTGCTGCCGCCGCTCCTGCTGCCGCTGCTGCCCCGACTGCGACGCTCCCTGCCGACGACAAGAAAAACCCAAGGTTCCCAAGCGTCCAGGAAACGTCTTCGATCAAACATGCCGAAAGTTTGCCGACGCTTACCTGGCCCGCCCTGCTCATGCCGTGGTGCGCGTTGCTGGGGTTCTGCGGCGGGCCGGAACGCCCCAAGCCGACCGGAGGGGCGCGGGGAACGCCCGGCACGCCCGGCACGCCCCTGGCGCCGGGGAAGGCTGGACTTCCCTGCGGAACGAGAAGAGGGTCGTGGCATCGTGGTACGGGAAGTACGGACTCACGGAGGGGAAGGGCGTCGGGGTCTACCTGGTTGTGCATGAAGTAGTTGGGCCTCGCGGCCGCGTTTTGGAGGAACAGGTACTGCTGTATCTGCTGCTGCTGCTGCAGCTGCTGCTGCAGCTGGCTGAGCAGCTGCGGAGAAAGCTGGCTGGGGAGGTGTCCGGCCGCCACCGCCGCGGCCGCGAGCTGGCTCTGCAGCCGCAGCTGGGGGTTCTGCGCGCCGAGCGCCAGGAACTGCAACAAGGAGGCGTCATTGGCTCAGCAATCAGAGCGTCAGAGCACTGCAGAGCACCGAGGAGGATTGTTGCCTCCTGAAGCAACGCGAGCAACGCCTATACCCTCGCCCCCTCCGCGCCGCGCCAGGACTTGTCTTTGAGATATCAATTACCCTAACAACAATCCATTATCGCATGTGTGCCCGGGGTGCGCGGGGTGCCCAGTGCAGCGTGGTAGTGTAGTACACGGAGGTGCGAGTCGGTGATACCCGACGCCGCCCACCTGACCACACCTGTTGACGGCGCAATTACCCGAAGTGTATGCCCAGAGCAATGTGATATGCGCTGCCTGCCCGCGGGGTGCGTGTTCTGGTTCTTGGCCGGCCAGCAAGAGCAACAACGACACGTTCAAGTGGACGAAAATTGGTCCGGAAAAAAAGGGTCAGTCTATTGTGACCCTTCCGCAGGGGCTTTAGGCGGCAAAAGCACGCGGCGTCGCGGCGTCCGTCCGCCGCCAGGGCCTCCTTGTTTACCTCGCCGAGGAAACGGGTTCGCGCGCCGCCCCTCGCCCTTTGATATCGAATACGGAGTGCCCCCCCCCCCCCTTTTCCCCTTTCCCAGCGCCCTCGAGCGTTTCCCTATGTCCACACGTCCGGCTACTTAGCAAGTCGGACTCGTGTTTGAGCGGACTCTCTCTGTCTCTCTCTCTCGCTCCCCGCCCTTCGCGGTCTGCGGCTTTTTATACGCGCGTCTCTCTCTGGCCCTTGGCCGGCTCGGCCACCCTGCCCGTATTTGAAGTCGCGAAACGGTTCCTTGGCATGATCCATGCGCATGTGTTATGACGGTGCGGTCCGGCAGGCTGCTCCCGGCCCTCTCGACCAGTTCGGCAGTCGAAGTCTTGCGGCCCGAATCCACAACCTTGGCGGCCTCTCTTTCCCTCCACGGCGCCGGCGCAAAATTTACAAGACAGTCGCGGGCGAGGGGTCGGCAACTCATATATTACTTCGTACGCGGTGGCTATATTACCCGTATGTTACCTGTATATTACCATATATTACTTGCATATTACCACAATTTCGCCTCTATAATGACCCTATATTTACTATATATTACTTGTATTACTTTATATTACACATATATTACCTATATTATTGGTAATATACGTATACTCCCTCGTACACGGCCAAGGGAAGTTGCCGACCCCTCGATCGCGGGCTACAAGTAAAAAGTGTATTTATTTCCCTGTCAAAAACCGTAAGTGTAATTGCCTGATGATTGGCGCTCCTACACCGTGGCGCCCTCGTTGGCGATTGCATTACCCTCTCTAGAAAGTAATGATGAAACCGGGGAAAGGGCGGAGCAGGCGGAGAGCAAACATGGAGTGGGGGCACGCCCCTCGGTCGCACCCGCACCGCCCAGCACCACCCCGTACCGCCCTCGCGTTCCTGCAGAGAAACAGTGCGTGCTCATAGGCCAAATCAAATAAGGTCCCTCGGACCCAACGGACGGACGATGCCTCGACACGAAAAAAAAAAGGAAGGAAACACAAAGAGTAGAGAAGCAAGTGTCTTGTATCGGGACGCGCGCAGCCACGCGCTGCAGCGCCGCGCAGCCAAAGGCAGCCAAAGGGGCCCGCATGGTTGTCAATTCCAGCGGCGACTCTGAGAGACCAAGTACAGCATGTTCCGCGTTTGGAGCGGCGGGAGTGGCGGAGAGAAGAGAAAAAAAGGAAAAAAGAGGGGATGGCGGAGAGGCCGACGTATTAGCAAGGCAGCCGCATCATACTGTTGAATGACAACCGCTGTCGGCATACGGCATGGCGGTCTGGCCGTCTGGCGGCCCATCGCCAGACTTATGATGAATGACTGACTAAGAACAGGGTACTGACCAGGTTGAGGGCGGCGGGGCTGGCGGACGGCGGCGGCCCCGGCGTCACCGAGCCCTCGCTGTCCGAGTCGTCGCCGGCCTCGCGCTCCCGGTCGTCGTCGCCGTGCCTGTCCTGGAGGCGTTCCTGGAGCCGGTCCGCCAGGAAGCGGTGCTGCTGGAGCGGGCTGCCGTGCCGGTGGCCGTCCGCCGTCGGGGAGGTGCCACCGCCGGCGTCGTGGTCCCCGCGGGGCGCCGGCGGGCTGGCGCTGCCGCCGCGGCCTGCAGGACCTGGAACAGGACCAGGACCCCGTCAGGAACAATCCACTCAGGCGGCGTGTTTATTCCGCGACTCTGCGACCCTTTCAATCTTTTTTCTGTTTGGCGACATTCTTTCAAATCCTCCTGCGTCGCGTCGCTCCCCTGCCGGCCAAGCATTATGCGCCCAGGTCCACTTCGGACCACCGCGGTCGGCGCCGTCGGCCAGGGCAGGGCCAGGGCCAGGGGCCAAGCCGGAGGGTCGCGTGGGCGGACAAAACCTTAATTCCTTTTCCTCCCCTGGCCGTGGCCCTGGCCTCTCCCCTGCAAGTGGCTGGGCAGGGACTGGGCCGCAGCCTGCCACGGACAGTGTCCGCGCTCCTCCCCTTCAGCCTGCCCGCCTGCGGGTCCGTGCGTCCGCCCGGACATCCACGGCGGCCCGCCGGGCCCGCTGGGTGATTTCCATGGATTTCCATGGCTTCGTGAACACGCAAATTGAGTTTCCCCCGCAGTGCGCCGTGCGGGTCGTGCGGAAGGCAGGGTGAGGGGGAGGGGGCCTGGAGGTCAATAGCAGACGCTAAAACCCCCGGCCAGCCAGCACGGCCAGCACGGCCCGACATTTGGGGTGGCCGTTGGCAAGGCTGTTGCGCGGAGCGCGCGGGGCAGCCGCAGGGACTGCAGGGACTGCAGGGACGCCCTCGGGGCTTCGGGGTGCGGTGCAGGCGACCGCCACCGCACCGCCACCGCACCGCCCTCAGCCCGAACGGCCAGCACCGCCAGCATGCATGCCGGCAACATTCGACAGCCAAGAAGTCCGTGAAAAAAGGAGCAAAACAGGGCATTGTGAAAGCGACTCAGCGAATTCGGACACATTTGTTGTTAGCGTAGGTTGTGAGGTTAATCGTGTCTTTGCTTTCACGAAGACGAACACGGTCGAAAATGGCCAGCGAGGGCTCGTCGAACAAGAGACTTCTTCGCCTATCGCAGCGACCTGCGCGCGTCTGGGTCTAGACGGTGGCTGCATGAGTCCTTGCACCCCCGCGGGTTCCATTTCGGACACGTCCACCCAATTCATTGTTCCTACACTGCTAATCGACCAGGCTCTTGACGCAGTCCGTGATTTGGTGCCGACTGTCCTCGCGTCCTCCACCCGGAACTGGCTAGCCCTCTCCTCCCCCTCGTCCGGCCTGCCGTTCATTTAACATTCAGATCTCGCGCCGCAGCCCTTGTTGGCGGGCTAGTCCGAGGGCTAGTCCGAGGGCGAGAGGCCCACTGGCCGGCCCGAGGCCCGAGGCCCTCCCCCATACGGCCCGACCCTCCTCTTCCCCGTGACCGCACTCATGAGAACGCGGCCGAAGACGTCGCCGCTCCTCCAGATCCACATCCTCCTCGGATCCATTATTGATTATTCCTCGTAATGTCGCTCCGTCCGGAACGATTACCAGCGTGCAGAAAAAAAGGGCGGAAAAGGGCTGGAGAAGAGGCGCGCCCGCTCTTGCCATTCATGGAACGGCGCTTCCCCGATGGTATCAATCAGCGATCGGCGCGTCTGATTGGCCGGGGCGGGCCGTCCTTCGTCCTCGGCCCTCCGTCCGCGGCGTCTGTTCATCGGCCGGACCTGCCCTGCGCTGCGCTCCCCGCGGGCCGTGCACGGCCGTCGCCACCCTGGGGAATTCAGCGACACCAAAAAACGCGACTTCCGCCCTGGCCGCTCCCCAGGGCCTGGTGGCCTGGTCGTCGGTCGGGGGCCTCCCCTGGGCCGTCGCTGGACGGCGTCCACTGCAGAGCGTGTTTATTTATGGGTCCAGAACGGCACGGACTGAACGGGCCGAGGGAGGGACGGTGGCCAGTTTGGGTCCGCCTACCGCCCTCTGGCGGCCACCCCCACCGTCCTGCCGCCCCCGCCCCCGCCCGGCCGAAAGGTGACGGTCGCTGTTGACACAGAACTTGTGTTTCGGAGGACCGGCCCCGCGCCCCCCGCGCACACCTTGCCGATGCCTGGCTGTGTTTTAGTTTTTTTTCACACCCCGTTCTTGCCGCGCGCAGCCCCACCGGCAAAACAAATAGAGCGTCTTCGGCGGGTGTGCTTTTGCGGGCCGCGGAAAGCAGGCGGCAGTGGGGTGTCTCTACACATTCGGCCACCGCGGCTCACCGGGTGAGCCGAGTGGCACAACGGGTCCAAACCGCATCGGGAAAGACACTCCTAA